TCACATGATGGGATGCCTCGAATTATGTGTCAGTGTGTATCCCTAAATACTCACATAAAACAATCGAAGCGTGAGATATGAGATAATGCAAACTTGAAAAGTAAAATTGGTCATAACATTGCGAGGTTAGGACCCCATATTGTTTCGTGGTGGAGGATAGTTGTGGAAAATCTATTATTCAAATTCTAGATATTAGTGGTCTCACTACACAACCGACATGGTGAGTGGATACAATTCTAGGGCCCAGGGGAGTCCGTTCCAAATGCAGTTGTTAATTCTAATAATAATAACTACATTCTAGATCATACAGAGTCGACATCTAATACACAATAGGAGAGACACGTGGGAACCCTAAGGAGAAGTGGCATAATTAGTTGCAGGGATTTGATTCTCATTTGAGTTGAGGCGGATGTGGTGTTTGTGTGAACTAATGATTCCCTTGTACTTGATGACTGCTTGATTTCGAATTTTAAATACAATACGTTCATTCGTGCTCATATAGTTGCTCTTGGTTAAATTGCGTTTATCTGGGATCCTCAGTTTGTACAATAAATCAAATACTTCTAATTATCACACACTTCTACACTAGACGACAAATCCTGAATTGTTGAGCAATTTAGTCATGGTAAATGACACCAAGAAGTGACAATTCAGATTAGGTAATGGCCGCAAGATGTGACCTCACGTAGACTAGGATGTCACGCCGTTGCTATCAAACTCCAGTATGTCCGAACCATCCATATGGGTTACCTACATTGATGATCAGCAACTTTTTTCAGTAATACAGCAATCAGGCTTCCTATTATTTTGAAAATGAAACCGATGGCCGAGAACGCAGTGTTAACCGCAGATTGCCCACGGAAATTATCACATTGTTATGCCTAAGTCATTTCCAAGGGTGAGGAGTGTAATACTGAGATTCTCAACAGCTATCTAACGTTGATACTATTAACACCCAAGATATTTCAGACGTACTCAACTACTCTAACTTAGCAGCCATTATTCCATCGTAGTTGGTAATGATTGTTACACTGAAAGAAGAAGAATGATGACTTCAGAAATATGGTGAGTAATGAATACATTTACTGTACAGTTAAATATTGTGTGTTGTGTCTCAGCATATCATAATAATACACTGTAATCTGTAGCTTCGTAATTCTACGTTGAGTTCTTGGTTGAATTTTGTTGAAGTTCTAGACTTATTGTAATTAGTTCAGTTTCGTTATATTATTTCAAATTCACTAGCATCATTACAAACTTTACTCATACCCATTAGCAGTAAACGTTCCTTGTTGTTTGGGCGCCGTATTTTAATGTTATGGAAATTTATTCTATCATATAAGGCGTTTTCGGTCATGTAGTCTTTCAAATGAAAAGTATTATAGTTTGCGTTGTCACTGTAGAATTGTCAAATATATGTTTCAACAACTTTATCCATCTTCGCCAGTCTCGAGCTACTGAAACCGATTCACCGTCTAGAAATCTTGTTGCATTACGATTACGAACAGGAAAATGCCCTCTACACAGGTGGAGTCGAGCTAATAATCTTAAAAGGTGAACGAAAATGGGTTGTTGGATGGGAGTCTTATGACTCTCAGATCATCGAAGAACCTACAGGATTATGGTATATTTCGGTATTAGTACTACGTTAATAATAGACCCAATCCTAACATTGTAGATTTGTCATAATGTAACTGACTAATCTATAAGATCTTACGTGAAAGTCACATCATTGCCTACACCAATTTATCGCATCGTAACGAACAATATATGATGAGGAACATATTTAGGCTAGAGAAAGAACAATATGTTTATTATGGATAAAAGATTATGGTACCACAATCAAGAGTGACCACGCCTGCGATGCCGAGCCATGCAGTCCGACCAGTTCAAATTAACTGAATTGATTCCTCCCGCCTTTTCCGTCGTTGGGTTTTTCTCTGCATTAAATGTTGAATATATATTTTCCAGTTTTCCCGTGTTCAGCTTTGAGGATTGTGTGTTTAGGGATCAATGCCGCTACAAACTCTTCAAAGTAAAGATAGCAGAGAACGTTATCCAGTGAAACACATACATTAACAACTGTAATGGAAATGATTCACATCAGTTTCTTGATAGGCTGCAGTCCTCTAAATTCAATTTCCGTAAAAGTTAATGACAATGGTTCACCCCCACCCCGTTAGATTGAAATCCTAGGCAGAACACTGACAGGTTGACTTCAGTTAATCCTTTAGTATTTCCTCTTTTTGAGCAATCTGAATTGGAGATTGATGCTACTGTTTCGACTAACAAGTAGGCCGACAAATCTATATCTAATTCTTGGAGAGTTCAGTATAATCTTAAAGGAAGGCCTCATGGACCTATCAGAGTGATGTATCAGTTTAACAGCCAGGGTCTGAGGACTGGATGCAGTTTCGTGTAACCGGTCTTGATCTATTCTAAAATAGAGGCCACAAATATACAATTACTTGCCGGAAAATTTCGTGACTTGTCCTTGAAAAAACGGCTGTCTTCTTGTAGACTTTTGATGTGGACTTGCTGAAAATTTGGAGGGCCAAGGAATATTAGCGCTAGACGCAGGGTGGCCTAATAGCGGTCTGAACAGCTTTGACAAAGAGAACGAAATTAAAAAACAAGCTTCCTGACATTCTTGGGATTCAAGTTAAGGACTTTCGAACCGAAAGCTACATTCACAATGCATTAGCGTCATTCCACTCTCCCTAATATGTTTTACTATCACCTATGAAAATAAAGGCAATATTTTCAATGATATTCATCGTCTCTTACGAATTTCTATTCTTCCGTTTCACATTAGTCAATCGTGGAATTTAAACGGCACTTTTTATATCCTTCCCAGTATGTCATGAGGTGAGACGTCTGGTGTTGAAGTTTTATTTACATGAAAAAGGCTTGGGGCGCTGTACTTTTACTGTCACATAAAACTGAAGGTCTGTTTCCAACATGTTAGAAGCTATATAACACATTGTTAGAACAGATTCCAGGGGACGGTATTCTATGTTCCAAATCTGATTTTTATCCGGAATGCTTTGTTTCGAAAACTTATGAACAGTAATGTGGCACAAAAAAATTATGCAGGAGTAAATATCAGTTTAAGTGATTGACTTTAGGCCTGCCAGTTATGATGTAAAGCTTCAAACAGAATGGTTATAAGTTGGGTAGGCTTGGAATTTCAGACAATTATTTACACTTGCTGTTTCTCTAGTCTGTAAACAGAAGCTGACTAGAGATGAAGAAGCCGGTGAATCATTATTCAGAGCAAAATATCATGTGATGTGCTGAAGAACAGACATTAATAATGGGATAGGTTTAATCATGAGTTTAGACACTAAATATGTGAGTGATGATATGAATTTTTTAGTACATTGATAGAACTGTCAAAGGTGTCACATACATTCAGCGCTTAACAATGTCGTCGCCAACAGCACCCTTAAAATCTAGAGTCCCGAACACAATCAAACCAGAAGTCGAGAATGAAAGGGTTTGAATATATATTTTTTAAAAACAGTTAAGTTATCCGTTAGTTTGTGACTAGATGTTGTGTAATGAAGAAAGAAATCAGGTGGAGAATGTCAAGTTGTTTTTTGAAGCAGAATTAGAGAACCCTAGTAGAATATGAAGACCATACATTAAATTAATCGTTTGCGCATCTTCCACCAATTGTCTCTTACAAACTTCATCTTTCTGTCATTCCTGTTGATATTCGATTGCTGTCCGTTTCGTCCTCTCCCCTCTTCAGTTCGATGTTCTCAATCTTCTGATCAGCGTTATGTACTGCTTTTATCTGTCAACATAAGTAACGTACACTACGGTGGCACGGGACAGTTATCAATGCCTATCAATGGTGATCCAGTATAGATGCTTGACCAAACGCCTTCGGCTGGGGTTTGTCTGGCAAAACCAATGAGGTCAGCACCAATTTTGGAGACTTATTTGACGTGTCCGTAAGATGGCACCCTGAAAGATAAACTAGGATGAAGACAGTATACCTGAGCGTAGATAAATGTAGTGAGGCATGAGGCTTCTGCATTAATGAGGGGTGGTGGATGAGCCTGGAGTTGTGTTGTGCAGAGATATGACCACTATGCCTGAACGAGGGCCTCAATCCAACAGTGGCCTTGGAAACCAGCAGTGCCAGGATTGGAGTCGAATGACTGTTCGGCTCTCTTCGGGGGAATTACTAATTGTTACAGGTTTTTATACCGCTATGGTGAAAAGGAGAGAGAAATTCGCGGAATCCCGACTATTACTCATATTTTCTTAGTCAATTAAATCATATATCTGATGAATATCGGATTAGTTAGTTATTTTCTGTACACGTCCAGGATAACTAGGATAAGACCCTTTGGTTTATTATTGACATTGGATTGGATCAAACCCCACGAACAGGACTAAAGTCCTCATTCTTTACTCAGAGCTGGTGTTATTTAAACCCGTGGATTTTGTGTGGACAACAATCGTATGTTATAAAGAAATAGTGACAAAGTTTGAGGAACTAAGACGATTGTGATCTCGAGATCACGGATTTATTAAACCCGTCATCATGGTGTAAATGACATACAAAGTGACTACGGACATAGAACAAACTCCTATTATTTATTAGTTATATCATAACATAAAGGACACCCAATCATTTCAACATCTGACGTTGGGACTATTAGTTCACAGTGTTACTTTTTCCACTGAATAATCAACTTTTGTGGCATACAACCGAAGAAATGGTTTTAGTGGGATCAAGACCGACTTTTATCAAAGAAAGTGAACGAGATGAAAATATCCCGAAGGAAAGCTGCCTTAGGTTTTTGAACCTTCAGCTAACAGACTCAAAATTTGAATAAAAGAAAATAGTTTTTAATAATGGGACTAATTTTCTGATCTTATTATGAAGATAAGATAGTTACATTATTTTACTAAATACATGGTGGTTTGGTTGGTTGTCTGATCAACACGGTACTTTTCCGAGGGGTATTCAATTTCCTGGGATGATTCAGTTGGAGGTCTGCATACCGGTAGAGGTGGAAGGCAAATATGGAGAGTTCTACCCGTACGTTCTCTATCTGTTGTTAATCTTGTTCCAGGGTGTCATCAATGGGTTGAAATCCTTAGAAGAACTTAATGTGACACTATTAGATTCTTCCCACTCGAAAGCCCTTGTGGAATTCACTCTCCCTCCTTCCTCGTTGCGTCTCCCTCCAAAGGATCCAGGAACAGTTCTAGAACCAGTCCAAGGACTAGAGGTTGATGTGTTAATCAGCTCATCTCCTGGCGAGCCACCTGTAGACCATGAGCTATCAAGTGATCCGATTGCTTCTAAACTTTCTGCCTGGTGGCCTGCTGTTGTAAGGAAAATTGGTGGGAGTTTTGTTATTGTGGAGTTAATGGCTGACTTCTCTTCTGAGAATGCTGGTTCAAACGAAGTAACTGTCCTTCCCAACAAACGCATTAGTGTCCCCCACCCTTCATCACTTGAAAAAACGGATATTGTTGAAAAGCACCAATTGAGACCACGGATTCATCATCCCAATCTTAGTGTCTCGTCCTTTCACATCCATGCTATAGATATACCGGACGAGTTAGCTCCATAGTAAGTTGCGTTTCTGTTTCGTGCTTTGTCTCTCTATAGCTATGGTTAATACTTCCTGTTTTTCTCAGTTGCAGAGAGCCTGCCAATTACCATCACTTTGCGCGACGATGTGGTTTGCCTGTCCTGATCACTTTGGCGCCCGACACATTTAAACCCGTTTCCCCTGTTATTAAGGGGGACAGTGAGACGTACAACCTAAAGTCCCGTTTGCTTGTAATTTCTACAGATATCTCCACAATCAACAGGGCATCTGTCATCGACAACACGTTCGTTGACATGCTGCGACAAAAAGTCTCCATTTTGCAACAAACTGAAGAACTATCCAAAAAGTTGGTGGCGTCACGCCTTAATCAGGTACGTTCGTTACTTTCTTATGGTGTCTTAGCAATCACCATTCGTTGAAGAATTCCTCATACCTCTGGATTTAATCCATTATGCAATTGGCGCTCAAGGGTCAAATATTAGACGCGCTAGTGCTATTGAAGGTGTACTTTCTGTCAAGTTAGATCGCCAGACTGGTAATATCAGGATTTCTGGGAAGGTATGTACTTTCATTTCGTGTTTCGAATTTGATAGACTCGTTTAATGCGGTAAAATTAGCACTTAGCAATAGCCTTAACTTGAAGGTTCAGTTGGGTACAAGTGAAGGGCTGCTAACATTGGTTGAATCTATTGATAATAGCAGCCCAGTTTGTCGACTAGTTATACACTTTCAGTTGTATAAAAAACCTGGTCATGTCACAAACCGGACACTTGATCTCATTTTGCAGTTTATTTTTATCCACTCCCAGCTTTTGAAGCAAACAGTAAATGTTAATTCCTAGGCCTGGTAAGCTCATTCATGCTTTACATTTAACCTATCCTGACAAAAGGTAACAATTTCATAAGCTCTCAAGTACTTACGTACTCATCAGTGTGCTTTATATAATGGATTTCTGAAATCGTGCCCGAACTAGTGGTTAGTCACAAAACTTGTTTTGATTAGTTCCCGTTATTTGTAATAATGAGGTTTAACTAACGAAATCACTGAGTCTTAATCTAGGTCACAAATAGATTTCTGCCGGAAAAAGTTGCAAACGAATATTGTAATTTAGGGAAAACCTAGTCAGAAATTGCCAGAGCCGTGGCACTTATTGTCCTGCCAGTTGTGGAAAAAGTAATACAAACGTGAATCGGCTCAAATCGCTTCACTAAGTCAACATAATAAAAGGAAACTAACAGTGTCAACCCATTATAAAGTCGTATACCATACTGCTTGGACCGAAGCGAATGGGTCATTGCTCATTAATAAGTCTAAAATTCTAATCCATAAGATTAACTTATTTATTTGAACATATAAATATTGATATAAAGGGGCACCGAATATAAATGCGCCACACAATTCATCTGATTTGTGTGTGGACTGTGATACTGTTCGGATGCCCGAACCGAAACAGGTGATGTTCTTAGGGCATCACACTCGGAGCCTTCGATTTAATGTTCTGACCCACAAGGCAGTGGAGCGACGTCAGGAGATGCAGTCCCATGGCAGCCGGTGACCAACGACTGGTTCATACGTCATTTGTTTCTTCAGGATCATGGAGCCCATGTGCACCATTGGTTTGGGGTTGAGGTTTCCCAACTCCCCTAGGTGGACCCTCCATATCCACCAACCCGTTTAAAGCACCGGACATTCGCTTTTCGTCCTCTCAAGCTCATAAACAACGCCCTCGTCACGAAAAGGCAGAGGGTAGGATTTCCCTGGAAGTGATTGTATACGCATAGTCATGTGAGAGCATTTCGAGAGTGATAGCGGACTCTCCCCGCCCTCGGCCATAACAAGACCTAAGAATAACTAATTTTTAAAAAAAATTAACTGTCACTAAAAACGCAATCATGTAGGACCTTTTGTGTTATGATATGCATCACTAAAAAGACAGCAGAACCATCCTTTATACTAGCTGTATATATGTATATATGTATATATATATATATATAATATATATATATATATATATATATATATATATATATAATATAATATAATATAATATTAGTGATGTATATCATGAACACGGAAGGCCTTACATGCCTGTATTTTCATCGAGCTACAGTAAAATTTAATCCTATGGTTCAGAATTTTAGACTTGATTTGTTACTAGTGAGTAATGATCCATTTGCTTCCGTTCAAGCAGTCATAAATTTAACTCAGTATAGTATACGATGTTATACTGGATACTAAAACGCGCTGCTTATCGAGTTTGGGCTTGGTCTTCTAGTAATTCAGTTAGGATTGTCGATTCCACTTGTTTCCGTCTTGTTAATTAAGTAGGTTGGGAAGTTTAAACAGAAGTCATCCTTACAAACTTAATTCCCTGTTTTATTCTGTTTTTAATTAAGAAAGTTATATGCAAGCTTTAATATTTTAAATGGCGTTTACCATCAGTTTAGGGAAACCATTTGAAAGACATAGGGTTAAAAAGTCCTGTGGGTCTGAAAATTCAGAATTATGGAATTATGGAATCCTAATTTGATAACTCAAATTAGACGAATAGAACACAGAGATGGACTAGTTAGTATTTTTTTGTTGGTTTTTACTTCAATCTGATGTTCACTTACACTGTAGAATAGAAATATAGCTCAAGAGAAAAACACTATTTTGATAACTGTAGTGGTTGAATATTTAGTTGGTAGAGATAATCATCCCTGTATTTGGCTATCTCTAACCACCTAGTGACATAAACCATATCTTTTGTCTCAGCAACAAACAATTGTCTAGTTAGAAGTTGATGTGACAGCTTAAAGGTTTGCCACTGAACCATCAAGCTAAGTATGTTTAATCAAAGTAATTAACATCAACTTCGTGGTTTATGTTGCTAATATCTAAACGGAGTTTAATTGAGGAGCTAAGTAACCGGATTCTTAAAGAAAGCTATCTTGATGACTGCACAGAAGATTGTTGATGCATAGGGTAATGACTCAGTGCCTAATGTACCGGAACTTACCATCAAACTACAGACAAAACTCTTTCCACCTACTTTGGTTTCGCTAACTAGATAATATCATTAACACCAAAACGTTTGGCTCAAAGCCAAGTAAATCTACATGTGCTTATCGGATTACATTATTAACATTACTGAGTATATTATTTAATGACTGATATAGCCTTTGTTAATTTTCCAGGTATGACATTACCCTATAATCAGTACGGTAAATTGTATGCTATATCGTAATACTAAATTTATTTCAACTTTCTCTCTCTCTATATATATATATATAATAATAATAATAATAATAATAATTATTATTATTATTATTAAATGTAACTATATTTTTATTACAAGCTAGTTCTTAATTAGTGTACAGTTAGTTTTTGTGGGCATATAAGTTGGATTTTAATGATTTATTCATAGTATATCAAGCGTTAGTTATCCTCCCATTTAATATCTTCATGGTTCTCTTAAACAAACAAAATCCTAATAAAATGCGGTACCTATTCATTCCAGACTCAAGATGCTGTTAGAAACGCAAAGAAGTTATTGGACTTCTCTCAAGACATCTTTCAGATACCTAAATCATATGTAGGTCCTATCTTGGGATCAGGTCGTCGACACGTTCAACATATCGTGGATCGAGTGGGACTTGTTGGAATCAAGATTTCTAAATCACCTGAAGACGATCGTGAGCACGTTTCATTCCAGTTAACGGGAACTCAGCAAGCCATACGTGATACACAGTTATTTTTGGAGTTTCAAGTCGCAAGCTTACAGGAGTTAGATCGGCTTCGTGGTGTTGAGAATCCACCGTCTATATTAAAACCCAAGGATGCGACCATCCCACTTAAAGATATTTCGAGGTAACTGTGATTTTCACCAAATGTAAAATTTCAATAGGTTCTCGTTAGATCTTGAATAAAATACTGAGCTTTTCATCTTGTGTGTATGTCTACCTATTTCAATCTTTGTGGTCTTCGACTCAACATAGTTTATGAGAACCGTATTATCCTGACAGTTAATAATCAAGGTTTTTGGTTGTTGCACTACCTGTTTCGAACCAGCATTTTTCAGTTTACTTTGATACTAAACATGGTATTCTACTAGTGCCGTTGTTGGTATTTTTAGTAATATTTTTTATTTGTTTACTATTATTTCTACTTACCGAATATTGACTTATTACATGCATCCAGTCAGTCAGTCAGTCAGCTACAACGTAGGACCAGGCACATGTATGCATCGGCCCAGGTTGCCATACCTCATTAGCACAGCAAGATGAACACTGGATTCATAGGAGTGGTTAGGTCAAAGGTGGTAATATATAGGAGAAAGATTGCAATAAGGATATAGTATAGGAAGAAAGAATTAGTTCGTAGAAAGAAAGATGTGAAGTGATCTTAATCTCTTAGTTTAAGAGAAGACAGAGAGTGTATACACCGACGCCATTGTGATCGATTCTGAGCCATGTCACCAAGGGTCTCCAACCATTGGTTACGAAAGTCACGCGGACCCCAACCAAGTAGTCTGCATCTACCAACATGGCTCAGACTAGAAGTTAGTGACTTCAGGCACTGATGCCACGTTTTGGTTTGGCCGCCCCTAACTTTCTTCCAACCATCCCCTACACCGGTTAGCATTGCACGTCGCGGTAATCGGTGTTCAGGCATACGTAATACGTGGCCCAACCATCTCAGTCGATGAAGATTCATAACCTCATCAACTGATTTACCATCATTCCCTAATACCCTGCGTCTAACCTCACTATTACTTACCCGGTGATCCCAGCAGATGCCAGCAATATTTCTAAGGCATCTGTGGTCAAATACTAGTAGCTTACGGGTGTCTTCTACTCTTAAGGGCCATGTTTCGCTGCCGTAAATTAAAACAGAACGGACAGCCGCGCAGTATACTCGTCCTTTTATTGATAGACGGATATCTCGCCTCCGCCAAAGGTGACGTAAGTTGGCAAAAGCCAAACGAGCTTTACGAATCCGTGCTGAGATTTCGTCAGACACCAACCCATTAGGGCTGATCAGACTTCCAAGATAAGTGAAGTTGTCAACACGTTCGACTACTTCACTCCCTATCCTTAGTTCAGGTGTTGACGCAGACCAGTCCTGAAGCAACAACTTGCATTTAGAGGGAGAGAAGCGCATCCCAAACATTCTGGCATTGTTGCTTAGTGCTACCAGAAGACTCTGCATTTTGTCAGCGTCTTCACCAAACAGGACTATGTCATCTGCATATTCTAAGTCGATAAGTGGACCTCCTGGAAGGAGATCAATACCCGAGAATTCAGTCGACGAGAGTGTTATTTCCATCAATAGGTCTATGATGAAGTTAAACAAAAATGGAGAAAGTGGGCAGCCTTGACGGACACCACTTGAGGTTGTAAAGGTAGATGACAGTTCGCCATAAGCCCTGACTCGACTAGTAGTGTTCGAGTAAAGAGCCTTCACAAGGTTTATGTACTTCTGAGGTACGCCTTTCAATGACAGACACTGCCACAGAGTCTCGCGGTCTACAGAGTCAAATGCTGCTTTTAAGTCAAGAAAGACCACCATCGTCGGACGCCGATAGGTATGCCTGTGTTCTAGAACCTGACGAATGGTGAATATGTGGTCGATGCAGCCACGACCAGGTCTAAAGCCAGCTTGGTTCTCTCGTGTTTGTAGTTCACGAGTCTTAGTTAGGCGTTTGATAATTATCGAGGCCAGTATTTTAGATACTATGTTTGTTAAACTAATCCCTCTGTGGTTGTCACAGGATGATTTTGACCCTTTCTTATATATTGGGACGATAAGTGATTGCGACCAGTCAGATGGGATAACGTCTAACTCCCAGATTTTAGCCAAAATATTAGTCAACCTAGTCGCTAAAATTGGACCACCATCCTTAAAGACTTCTGGAGCCAGTCCATCTGGACCAGCTGCCCTTCCTCGTTTCAGATTAACTATAGCCTTCTCAACTTCAGCAAGAGTTGGGGGACCTACTTCAATGTTCCATTCACTTTGTCTGGGAATGGAGGGTAGTTGTAGAGTAGCTGAAGGCCAGCTGAACTGTTCTCTAAAATGTTCCGCCCATCGTTCTAAACGTCTGGACTGGGAGCAGATGAGAGTATCATCTTTTTCCGAAATAATCTCACTTACACTTGACTTATTAGTTCCAGTTTCTTTTATTAGTCTGTAAAGCTGTCTTGTGTTCCCTATAGTCGCCGCCTTTTCCATCTCTTTTGCTTTCGTTACCCACCACTGCTCACGGTCGTTCCTTAGACTTTTTCTTAACCTAGATCTGATTTGTTTACGCTCTTCATCATGTTCAGAACCTGATGGGACGAGTTTGCGAGAATCCATCAGTGTGACAGACCTTGAAGAAATCCACTGGTTCCTTGTAACTCTGTGGTTTAAGTCACTAACAGATGTCACTGCTGTTTCCACAGCTGCTTGTATGTCCTTCCAAGCAACATCTGGGTCAGCCTCGTCTTCACAACTAACTAAGTGTGACCTCAGTTGTTCCTGGAACCTACTTTTGGTTTTCTCGTTACTCAACTCAGTTCTAATGGGTCTTTTTAATGTGGCTTTTTTGCGTCCATTGAGGCGCAAGCAGATGCGTGCCCGTATTAGGGCATGGTCGGAGTCCAAGCAGGTGCTCCAGAATGAACGACAATCTTCTACCGACCCTCTCCAACGATGACTGATGGCAATATGGTCTATTTGAGTCCATCGTTGGTTTGGTGTAGGGGGTCGCCATGTTAGACGATGTCTCTCCTTATGCTTAAAATTTGTGTTTGCTAAAAATAAACGATTGTCTGAGCATAGCTGCAGCAGACGATCACCATTATCTGTTCGCTGTGTCGGAATACTAAAATATCCACCTAAATGCCTTTCTGTTTGGTTTAAACTGCCTATCTGAGCATTAAAATCACCTGCTACGAGTACTATGTCTGAGCGTTTAGCTTTCTGAAGAAGTTCGGATAGCTTTCTGTAAAATTCATCTTTCACTTCATCTGAGCTGCAGTCAGTGGGAGCGTAGGCAGAAACGACAAAAAGGCAACGACGTGTGTCCCTATCCTTCCGAGTTCTTACGTAGCCGTTCAGCCGAACAGCACATAGACGACTGTTGACGGGGATCCACTCTAGCAGTGCTTGTTCGGCCCTCATGCTTAGTGCTATGCCTACACCTGCCAGTCCACGAGAACTTGCCATCGGGTCACCAGACACACGAAGGGTGTATCTCGTTGGCTCTCCGTCTTGCCGAGGTGAGGTCAAGTGAATGACCACACTGGAATCCTGTATGCGTGTTTCGGAGACACAGCATACATCAATGGAAAGAGACTCTAGGGTTTTAGCCAAGGAAGCCTGCTGACCGATTTGACATAGGGTGCGTACGTTGAAGGCTCCAATGTGTAGTTTGGAGCGAGGTTTCAGTAGACCTGGGACAGTGTTTTGCGCACTAGAATCGTTGGCTACGGTGACACTTGAGGTGGAAGCCGAGAGAGGAAATACAGAGTTGAAAGTCGATGTAGGAGGAATAATAGGAATTGAAGAGGAGGTTGATTATGAATACAGTGGACTTGAGTGCTGTTAGAAGTATGAGGGCGGTTATCACTTCCCGGTTGCCCACACCGTGGAAGGGTTGTTCTGGAGGTACCTGAAAAGGAAATTGGATTAAAGGTGGTCTTAGTGAACTGAGAGCGTGACCGCAGTGCCCAAGGGACAACTGCTTGAGGTCGGTCACACACGACCTTGTTATGGGTAATTTTTGTGTTAGCTCCGTACTTATTGAGACCTTACCGCCGGAGACGGATATCCGTGGGATAAGGCGAGGTGTGCATTTTTAGGGTCGACCTTTTCTAACCCCACCCCTCCTTGTGGGAAGGCAGCATCGCTGTCATGCTGGTTGTCTGAAGGAAACACCTTACTGCTGTCACACCTCTGTACAGTCAGCAGTACGACTTCGCCTTCGGACCTTGGGTTTGTTGCTTTTAGTCTTACCGCTCTTCAACCGACCTGTCTGACATGGTAGGACCTTGAGGAACGGTTGTTCCAGCCAGTATAGCTCGGTTGCTTCATCACGATAGGCAAGCCCGACCACCACGTCAAGGTAGCAACAACGGTCGGGTGTAGCAACAACGTGTAGCAACAACAACATGCATCCAATCACAAACGTTTCTTGAGCTACTGAATAGGGTGACAGAAAAGGCTGCATTTCTCTCTTAAAACTATAATGAACAGCGGGATTGCCCTTAAACACCCTGGTATGGTCAAGAGTGAGGAGAGTTCGCTGTCGCTCTCTAAGTTCTCTGATATGGCCACACTTATATAGCCATTGCCAAGGAAGTCCTACTTACTGCCTTCTGATGATTGGTGTTTATGAAATTGAAAGGACGAAAAGCAAATGTCCGGCTCTTAAACCGGGTTGGTGGGCATAGAGGATCCATCTAGGGGAGTTGAAAAACTCTGATCCCAAACTAATGGTGTTCATGCGCTCCAGAATCCTGATGGAACAAATGACGTATGAACCTATTCTTGGTCACCGATTGTTATGGGACCTCATCTCTTGACGTCTCTACACTACCTCATGGATTATTGTCGGTCATCCATTTACAAACAACTTGATAATCTGATACAAACGTTCGTTAGCCTAACTTGTCACACAATGATAGAATGACAGGACACTGCCATATTAAGACCGACTGTCACCGCCGGTGCTCACACGATAAGTTTTCGATCTTTTACAGTCGGTCTCTTGGAATTTTATCCTAGATTATTGACAATCTGTTTAGTCACAGACAAAACGTCGTTATTGGATATGACTTCCAAATTAGCATTATTTCTAGTCATAGATGAAAATAAAGACGGTAGATACTTTGGATAAGGTGTACTATATTAGGCAATCCTAAGATCAGAAATATTACGCTAGGATTTTACTAATCTTTATGGTGTGAAACACTTCAAGTCAAAAAAACCTTTGATTTCTAGTAATAAACTTTTTCAATGTAGACAAACAGTAGGGAACAAATTTGAATTTAGGATAAATATGCATGGGATCGAATTTTTATGCATCATGTAAACATAGAAATCATTGAGTAAGAAATAATAATCCTTACATAAATGCCAAATAAAAACTAGATGCTCATGAACTTCGAAGTGAAAGACACTCCATATCACCGTGTTCTTGATGGAAGCACCATATTACATAAAGTTGACTAATATTACTATATTTCAGGCCGTTATCAGAAAGAAAACCCACTCATCTAATCTACTGTCAAATGACTTTAGTAAACTTGTTCAGTTTTCTTTGCCTAGAAAAAGTAAATGAAATTTTTTTGGAGTGTCCTACATAGGATGCAGTCTTGTTAATCCCTGTTTAGCGATGTTTTTATCCCATTTCGAATAAAGAAAACGTACTTTCTTTGTGATTGTAATTGTAGCAATGATGAGTCTTCAGATCCTCTCACACATTCTGAAAATGGTCATCGTATGTCAAACGGTGACAATCAAAGTTCAAAATGCAGTGAATCTAACTATGCTGTACATTCAAATAGTTGCTCAAATAAGGAGGATCCGGAGAAACAAGAAACTACTTATAACAACATTACAAATTCACGTCCACATCCTGGTGGACGTCAGCCCAAGCCGAGACCTCAAGTCAATCACATAAGACCAGGTATGTTTAAAAGACTGTCATAAGAATAGTTTTATTGGATTATTAATCGATAATCTACTAAACCTTTCTTCACTTGGGTTGTTCGATGAACTTATATAAAGTGTTTTCTAGTGTTGTCACATTATGTTCATCTTAAAAAATATTACATCTGGTTTTAGTTACAGACTACGCTTACTGCAGCCACGCTTTCCACTAATAAACGGAATGAATAGTGACCTAACATATTTAACGTCATAAACCAATCACCTTTGTCTATACGATGTTATTTTAATTGTCTCTATGGGTAAGTTCTTCAATGTAAAGGAATGCAGCAGTATACTATCATTAAATCAACTAGTGAGAATTCTTACCAGAATGTAAGCTTTTTCGTCATTAAAGAAATATGGAATAACTCAGCCACATTATAACGTTGCCAACGCATTAACTATGACAAGCTGTATCTCGAACAGTTAGTTATCTTAAAAGGATCGACACAGAAACGATCTTCACAGTTACTATCAGCAATCACATACCCATAAGTAGTTTTGTTTTACAACCATGATCAGAAACAGATTAGAATCAAAATTCACGGAATTAAGAGGACGAAAAGTGAATGTCCGGTGCTTTAAACGGGTTGGTGGATATGGAGGGTCCACCTAGGGGAGTTAGGAAACCTCAACCCCAAACCAATGGTGCACATGGGCTCCATGATCCTGAAGAAACAAATGACGTATGAACCAGTCGTTGGTCACCGGCTGCCATGGGACTGCATCTCCTGACGTCGCTCCACTGCCTTGTGGGTCAGAACATTAAATCGAAGGCTCCGAGTGTGATGCCCTAAGAACATCACCTGTTTCGGTTCGGGCATCCGGGCAGTATCACAGTCCACACACAAATCAGATGAATTGTGTGGCGCATTTATATTCGGTGCCCCTTTATATCAATATTTATATGTTCAAATAAATAAGTATTAATAATCTTGTGATTGACATGCCCACGGAATCATTGTTAATTACTTGTCATTGTTTTTAATACGAAGGAAGTTAAGGGTTACATCTGTGTTGTAATTTGTTAAAAATCAGACGAAAAGCTTATCTCGTGGAGGTTTTGTTATATCTTGGAAAAAGTAGTTCAGTGTTTTGGTTAGTTTTGTTAGAAGTATGATGGTTGTCTGCGTACCACATAGTTCATGCGGTACCAAAAACCTGTCACCTGTTTACATTCCATCGATATATTAAGTAAATGGCAATAACAGTCTATGAAATCATAAACTAGTTCTGAATCCCATGATTTTCTTTCCGAGGTCATTAAAACAACTACAGTATGAATTATAAGCAGAGATGAATGACGATAATACCAATACAAAAATAAATTACAACATGAATTGCTTAGTCTTTCGGTACCGTCGTGTTATAATTTTCGTCTCGTTAATTTCCTGTTGTGCTGATGTAAGATGTAACAGTGTGAACGGACGTACATATGCTTTTAGTGACTAACTGATCAGTTACATGAATCACATAAAACGGATTCATCGATATGACAACTGTTTCCTCGTCTACACGAATGGGACGTTATTTTGCCGTAGACGAATATTATCTACACTACATTCCCTCCCAGTGTCTATTCTACGGGTTCTCAACACAACTCCGATCAAGATTACGTGATTAGCCTGACTAGAACGTAAATATATTTCCACACCAAAAACCGACAAGAAGCCGTCACAATCCAACAAAAATCCGAGTAATAATAAGGTTAAGGGAAAATACAACTGGAAAGAAGGGCACCTCGTCAAGATTCCAAAGAAAGGAGATCTGAGCAAATGTGAAAACTACAGAGGCATTACACTACTCTCAATACCAGGGAAGGTCTTCAACAGAGTGTTGCTGAACCGGATGAAAGATGCAGTAGACGTGGATAGGAGGACGTTATGGAAACTTCTTCGACACTACGGAGTTCCTGAGAAGATTGTCAATATTATCCGGATTTCATACGACGGACTACAATGCAAAGTCGTGCATGGAGGACAGCTGACAGATGCATTCCAAGTAAGGACCAGAGTCAGACAAATTTGTTTACTCTATCCCTTCCTTTTTCCTCTGGTGGTCGACTGGATTATGAGGACCTCGACATCTGAAGGAAAACACGGAATACAATGGACAGCTCAAAATCAATTAGACGATTTGGACTTCGCAGATGACCTAGCCCTCCTACCTCATACACACGAACAGATGTAGATAAAGACAGCCAATGTAGCAGCAGTCTCTGCATCAGTAGGCCTCAACATACACAAATGGAAAACCAAGGTCCTCAAATTCAAAACGAAGAACAGCAGTCCAACCACTCTTGGTGGCGAAACTCTGGAAGATGTAGAATCCTTCACATACCTAGGAAGCGTCATCGATGAACAAGGAGGTTCATATGCAGACGTAAAGGCAAGGATTGGCAAAGCAAGAGTCGCATTCCTACAATTGAAGAACATATGGAACTCAAAACAACTGTCTGTCAACCAATATCAAAGTGAGAATCTTCAATACGAACGTCAAGGCAGTTCTACTGTATGGAGCTGAAACTTGGAGAACTACAACAACCACCATCAAGAAGGTGCAAGTATTTATAAATAGCTGTCTACGCAAGATACTCAACATCGATTGGCCGGATACCATCAGCAATAGCCTTCTGTGGGAGAGAACAAATGAGCTTCGAGCTGAAGAAGAGATTAGGAAAAGACGATGGAAATGGATAGGACATACATTACGCAAATTGTCAAACTGCATCACGAGACAAGCCCTAACTTGGAATCCTGAAGGGAAGCGAAAAAGGGGAAGGCCAAAGAACACATTGCGTCGGATTATAGAAGCAGATATGAAAAGGATGAATAACAACTGGACGGAGCTAGAAAGGATTGCCCAGGACCGGGTTGGATGGAGAATGCTGGTGAGCGGCCTATTCTCCTTCACGAGGAGTAACAGGCGTAACAGGCGTAAGTAAGTAAAATACAACTCATCTAGTACCTGTCGGACTACTAGTCTCACTAAGCAAATAACTTATCATTGACAATCTCGCCCACACATCAACAACAATTTCGAAAAACCACACTTCTGGTGGTTAAACAAACAATTAGTAGGGTAAATTTGTTAGATCAACGTCTCTCATCATTGCATTTCACTGTCTTTCTGAGCTCTCGAAAAACGTCTTGGTTCAAACTCAGTTAAATTCTATATTATTTAAAGTAGGACAATTTTATTGATATTACGAACCTATTTAAGTTAGGCAGTCTGTGTAAACATGAGAGCACTGAATGGCCGTTTTGTTCTAGTACGGGACCCCTCAGCAGTGCACACAGACGAATCCGTGACTTGTAATCGAACCCTGGACATCCAGTCTCACGCTCAAACACTTAGTCTCTAGACCACTGAGCCGAGAGCCAATAGTGTGCAAATTTAAATTCAAGGCTTAAAATGATTGATTAATAATCGGATTGTGGTTTATTATTTTTTCATATTCATAACAATCGATATTTCGCTTTCAACTTTAGAGTCTCGTCAAATTCCTCGCATTCAACGAGGCGGTGGTGAAAGTATTCGCAATAGTGGAAGTAATCATACAGGTGTTTCTAAGTCTTCGGCCAACCATGTTAACTCCAAAAACCCTAATCAGCAAAGAAATCAACCGAATCATCGTTCGGATTCCATGGGACCTAGAGGACAAAATATGTGTGCCCCAATTGTTAGCTGAATAAATTTTCCAGTTGGAGTTCAATGAACATTTTCAGTAGACCACTCAGTTTTAAGTGCTTACCCTTACCTCCGCTTTGACTATCCGAATATCCCATTTTATTGTACCTTTATTCAATTCGGCTGTCATTTCCTCTATACACACTCACACTGTGTAAATCAGATTGGATAACTGGAAACTTGTTTAAGGGTGATTTTTAAATAATCTTTCTTATTTTTAGTGCATATTACTAAATATTCTTTGCTTTTTTCTTCCTGGTGATATTCCCGTATTGTTTCAACCAGTTGTAATCTTGAACCATGTTCTGTATATTGTTTCTGTTAGTTTCTGGATTCACCAACTAATAAAAACAAAGTATTATCATACTTGGTAATTATCCATTTTTAGTAAATATCTTTGCTTTCATCCGTATCTGAACTTATGGCATTACCTCAACCTAATACCTCAGATTTATGTACAAATCATGAACTATATGAAGGGTTATCCTACTATACTTGATTTGTATTATAGTTTTTATTTAGTGCGTTTATTACTCATTTCATGTTGACTTGTTTATCGTAAAAAGTAGACCACAATAAGAATTAATGTAGTGTGAGTTGTCAATATTCTGTCGCCTAGGATTTATCACCATATAATTTGAATTTGAATCACTCTACTGTAGTACACGGCACTCAGTACAATGTTTTATAGCAATCAGTTTTAAAGCAAATGGTTCGTTTAATAAACGCACTGAATCTATTCAGTCTAGCTTGATATTCTGATTATTGATAGTCTTATCGTTATTACCATTATGTCATTCATGTATTTTAAGGGGAATTTCGTTAAATCCGTTAATTAGGTATTTGTCGTTTAGAGCTGTTGGTGAACATTTAAAAAGAAACGGCTGCTAAAATGCTAATTAACTGGTAGTTTATTAGAGATTGATTAATGTGACTGGTGCAGTTTTTACGATCCTAACTTTCATAATTAAGTCCCAACTTAAGTTCAGAAACATCAAATTAGAGGAAATGAGACATTTGTTTCGTCAACCAGGTATTGTTAGGTTACAAACATGGACATACGTACCACTTTGACCGTGAAAGTGGAACTTGATTTCATTCAATTGGAGGGTTTTGTATGATTATTTCACTGGGATTGCTAATATGTGCTGCTACAGACACCATTAATGCACTCATTTTTGTAAACTTGTTTCAGACAACTACTAGTTGTGTCGTCCATTGGTATTTACTTTACTATCGATATGCTTCTATGGGCAAAATGCTGTTTGACTTGTTCTGTAATCTGCTACTTTTAATGATTTTGCATACTAATTAACGTGATATGAGGTTCTGAGCAAAGGAAATCAGGGTTTTTTGTGTGCAAACTAATGTGCGGTTTTGTGTCATATCTGAAAGATCGGTTCCTACTTTAAACTCTGTGTTTGAGAATCTGTGTCTGGTACAACGTGACTCCAGTTTATATGTAATGTGTCGATCGAATGTCCAATGTCGCAGCATAATTTCGTTTCCACTTCGTATTATCATATTGTAGTAACATTCTTTGGCCAAAGGAAAAGCCTTTGTTTGACCGTTATATTAGTAATTCTATGCAGTCTTGTTAGAATAAATGACTGTAGAATGCAATTTATCTGGTGAAAATTCCCATTTAGACGACGAATAGGGCTAAAAATTTTCCATTCGTCTTTCATCATGTATATTAATATCATGCTAGTAGCGATTTAACACAATGATTATATAACAGTGTTTATAAAATGACATTAAATAATTAAGTAGTTGGGAGAAAGGGTTATGGTAATCAAAGTAATTATTCGAAAAATTCGACTAAGGTTGCGACATCACTTAGTACGTGAGGAAAGTTCAGTATTGTAGTAATATTAAGAATCAAGAAACTGCTTTTGAAAGTATCTCCTGTGTAGTGGTATTAAGATTTTGGGTGACTGACTGTTTTTTTAAGCGACCCATTGTACAAATCTGGAAGTCCATCATCTCATAGTGGAACACCATCCATCTTGGTTTAACAAAGGACAGGTGGAAGTGACTAAGAGTTCAACTCTCAAACAAAAAAGCTCGAGTTGATTTGAATAAAGCTTTAAAAGTTTCCAACATATCCCATCAAATTTACCACATTGTTTGCAAGTTTGTCTTGTACATATTACTGAATCTATCGGAATCCATGTTCAAAAACCTAGCTTTTGCGTTCAAAAGAAATTTTTACAACCATTTTCGCTATCTTGGTCGTCGGTATAAGAGTGAGTGAAATTTTAATTAAAGCAATTTTCTAATTTATTTCACTTTTGTATTTCTACATATTTTCAACGTATGATGAATTCACTGTTTATTATTTTCTCGATCTTGACTTCCAGTATTCCCTCATATATTTAATTCTCTTGTATAGTAATATTTTTAGATTTTTATAAAAGAATTGTCAGTAAAGAAATCTTATGAATAAATAAATGAATATACGATATTTAGATTGTACTTTAATAAGTTGTCATATTCTCGTAAAAGCGCCTGCTACTTGACATTAAGTTTAGTAACACTAATCTGTTTAACCTCGTGGAGCGTAGGTTTCTAATCAGCAATCTCCAAACTGTCATGCGATCCCTTTTTCAGTTTCTCCAGTCGCTACTCATTCTTCTGATTTCTTCCTCCAGTTCCCTGCTCAATGTGTCCCCTCGTCGTCCTCTTCTTTTACCTTCAGCATTACCGTTATGTGCTTCCCATCCACCTGTAATATCTTTCTTTGGATCAAATAAGTGTAGTTTCTTACAAATATATCACTTACTAGTCTACCTAAATGCAATGTAATGTGACTTAACTCATACTATGACTTACAATAACTTTACACTTTCTAAATATAATCGAATAGTTGTAAATGCCGGTGACTTTCATCTAATTTTTGTATATGGACACATTTGCTTCACAAAACACTGACAATGTGATATCTAACTAATTTGTTAAATCATATCAGGAAATTTCATCTAAATTATAAACTCCACGTCATGTCATACATTGAATTAACTGTATCCAAGGTGTCCACTGTATTCCTTTCTCTCCTGAGATGTAGAGGTCTATATAATTCAGTTAGTCACTAGAAGAAAGAGAAAGGGCGAGAATAAGCAACGCTGTCTGACACCGGTCTTCACTTGGAATGCATCTAAGGTGCCCTTCATGGAGGACATCACAATACAGTCCAACGTATGTATTCCGTAGAATTTTGACGCTATTAGTTGCACCATAGTGCCGAAGGAGGATCAGTAGGGTCCTTCTACCCACATTTGTTGGTTGCTTTCTCATTGTCAAAGAAGCTGATGTATAATGAAGAGTTCCATTCAATTGATTGCTGAACAATAGTCCGAATTGCTGCAGTAACCTCTCTACCTGGCTTTAGTAATTCAGCTGGTGATGCTGCTTCCCTAATTTTGATTTATCTGATGGCCATGCTGATTTCGCCTATCCTCGGTGGAGCGACATCTATAGGAGGGTCTGTGTGTGCTCCTTCGACGTCTGGTGGGTTCATTGAGGCCAGTTCATTCAAGAGTTCTTCAAATTGCTCTACCTACCTCTTCCACAATTCTTGAATTTCAGTGTTTGGCCTGCCTTCTTTTTTTTCAAATAATCACTCTGGTTTACTATGTTTCTCTGCTAGTTTCTTCGCCGTATCATGCTTTTGTTTCATATTTTCTCCTCTTGTAGCTTCTTCCGCTGTCATTGCTAGGTCTTCGGCGTATTTCTGCTTGTCAGCTCTAATGTCCCTCCTCATTTTCTAGTTTCCTTTTGTGTATTCGGCCTGTGCCTTGACTGCTGTTGATTACTGTTTCCTTGTTCTTCCCTTCATTAATCTTGGTCAATAGAAATCCACCCTTTATACTGGTGCTTGTTGTGACCAAGGATCTCCTGACATGTTGAAGTTATTGCTTCTTTTGTACATTTCCGGTTCTCGTTCGGTTATTTATTTACTCTGAAGAAGCGGCTTAGATGAAGTCAGGAAACTTCATAAATACAATTCTTCTACTTATTGGGATATAACAAAAATACTGTTTTTATTATTGACCACACTAGTATAAATGATCTGGAGCTAAACCACCTCCTCTCTTCGTTCTTACGTCTTCCATGGACCTTTCGAATTTTTCATTGATGCAAATATGATCGATTTGGTTTTCTGTAGTGTGGTTTTATGTATACGTTTTTTGAAGGTATACAAATTTACAATCTTTCTCCATTCTCGTTCTTTTCTTCCAGTCCATGTCGTCTCATGATGTCGTTATACCCAGTGTCGTCATGATTCTAATTTACTTGTTTTGATTAACTGATAAATTTACTCAATTATTTTCATTAGTCTATACGATTAGTATTACCTTATTCTAAATAACAAATGACAGGTTATTCTTATTTACTTTTGTTATATTTTATAAAAGTTCACTTGAAAATGAATATTTCAACATTATTTAATGAAAACAATGTAACAGTCTTTTTGTTTTATAAATAATTCTTTGAATTCCATATTGTTAATTATCAAGAATATACATATATATTAGGTCAAAACATTAATCTAAAAATGAAATAGATAAGTAACAATACTCTACTGAAAAGATGCTTGTAGTGTGGTACCGAGTCAAGGTTGACTATGAACACCACTACAGAAAGACTTACTTACGCCTGTTACTCCTCGTGAAGGAGCATAGGCCGCTCACCAGCATTCTCCATCCAACCCTGTCCTGGGCAATCCTTTCTAGCTCCGTCCAGTTGTAATTCATCCTTTTCATATCTGCTTCTATAATCCGACGCAATGTGTTCTTTGGCCTTCCTCTTTTTCGCTTCCCTTCAGGATTCCAAGTTAGGGCTTGCCTCGTGATGCAGTTTGACGATTTGCGTAATGTATGTCCTATCCATTTCCATCGTCTTTTCCTAATTTCTTCTTCAGCTGGAAGTTCATTTGTTCTCTCCCACAGAAGGCTATTGCTGATGGTATCCGGCCAATGGATGTTGAGTATCTTGCGT